TTGGAGAATAGTCACTCTGGAAGCAACCTTGGTAAATGGATTTTGCTTCCAAGTTTTACAGATCACCATACTAAAGTTCAGGAAGAATTTCTACCCTTGTTAGTGATCAAGAACTAACCTGTAATGTATAGATTATAATAAACTCTTCTAATAATGCTACTATTTATTAGTTATAAAGCCAATGGCATGCAAAATTATAAATATTATTAATTACCACAGTTTATACATTCTTAATTCAGGGATCCCCACAACCTTTTTGAGCTTCTGGGCACCTTTTGAATTCTGACACGGGGTGCTGGGCACAACCACAAAAAGGGCAATGGAGGAGGCAGACACACATACAAGCAGAGAGGAAGCTCAAGGGGTAATGAAAAATGCACTGGGAAAGAGCTGCCACTGACACAATGTTATTTTAATCTGCACAACCAATCAGATCTTCAGTGGTCAATTAAAAGCCCTGCTGGGCTACACCCCCCTGACCCGTCCTGCTTTCTAAAACCACTTGGCAGGCACCAGGCGAGGTGTCAGCACAGGCATCATGGTGCCCACACAGGAACCATGTTAGGGACCCCTGTCTTAATTAATCAAGCAGCTTAAAGGGGGGCTTTCAACAGAACACTCTGAATGCTGATCAGAGATTATGATGCATAAATCCCAGTGGTTTTTAGTTTCATGACGTTTGGAATTTAGAAATCAGCACATAGTGCATTTCAGAAATGTAAGGCTTCCAAATCAGCAGTCGCTTAAAAGACACTTCTGAAGCATGCTTCCACAGTGTGACACAATGCAAAGACAGAAGTCTGGTATGGTTATGTTCTGAAAAACCAGAACTGTACTACTGTTTTTATGTTGGCCTTTATAAGCCCTCTGAAACGCAAGGCCACAATATCCCATATCACCATGAAGTTCTTTTTTTCTCTTTAGAACTAAAAACACTAATGAAATAAGCACCTTTAAGTCTTGAAATAATGTAGTCCTTATTGCACATCATCCATCTAGGAAGAGAAGCAGCAGCAACACTCTCTCCTCACCACAACTTCCCAACCCACTTTGGTTTCTTATCTGTGCTGGTCCCTCTCCCAGTCCCCCACACAGTCACAGGGGACTGCTGGGAGACAGGAGAAGGCCCTCCTCCACTAGCAAAACATCTACAGAATCCAACATTTGAATCTTTTCCCCTGCAAGTGCCACAATACATAAGACATGCAACACTTTCATATGCTCATAATCATGTCTGTATGGTTTTGCATTTCTGTTCCTGGTAAATCACTGTCCTGCTTTGTCCCTCTTTTTGCTTTTGGGAACATTTTTGGGGGTGCCTTTTAAAATTTTCACATGCTGCAGCTGGTGATATCCATCTATTGCTAACATCTAATTCTATTTATTTGTCCTCACTGAAGAACAAACTCCCTCCTTACTTTTCAGTTATTGCAAGGTATATGAATATACATACTGCAGGTAGAAAAGAGCCTTCAGCTATGTGATGGGTACTCAGCCATCCTTGGCATGAGAATAAGGACATAATAGTGTGCAAGATTATTCCTATTTTCATTTATAAAACACTAAAAAGTATGCAGCTCACGGTCTCAAACTGCACCCATCAATTTGATATATCAAAGGATATAACCAAACACTTGGAAGGAGGGATTAACTAGTGATGTTAAGGTTTGGTGGGGAAACAAAATCTGGCGGGAAATATATTTTTCCCCAAGGAATTTTTCAGTTCTTTTCAGTTGGAAAAACTGGCAATATTTTCTCATTTGGAATGGGAGAAAAACTTTAAGACAAGGTTTTTACGTGTTCAGTATGTGTACCATGAAGATCTTCATGAAGGACAATCTACAGCATTAGATAACAATAATTCCCAGGGGTCATTTCATAGAGAAAGAGGTGCAGGAGCTCATTACCATAACTTATTAGCATAACTTATTTGCATATGCCACACCCCCTGACATCACTGGAAGTGTAGGCAACACCCACCGCTCAGGCTCCACTGGACTGTTTTGGATTGCTAGCTATTTGGGGGGGAACATGCAGATCTGTCCTCGCAGAACATGCAGATCTGTACCTGAAGGCGGGGGGGGGGGGGGCCCGGAAATTTACCTGCGTGAGGGGGCGGGGCTTGTTGCATGTGCCTGTCCCCTGGGCTCCTTACTGCCGGAGCTCTGCTCCTGTGCGCTCCCACAGGAAATGACCCCTGATAATTCCTGAGTCTCTTGTAATCACATACAACATAATCTCAAAGATCTGTCTATTGTTTAAACATGAGTAATTTTGTCCACGATTATTATACCACAAGCAGGGGTTCAGGGGTGGGGTGGGGACATCCCATTCTCCCCATCCCTACTAGACCCTGTGTTCACTGTTGTGATAAGTCCCCACCCCCAGCCAGGCTGGGCTTGGAACAGAAAGCTTGCAGTATATGCTTTTTCCTCCAGCCCCCAATCAGATGGCTGGTGGTGGCAGTGTCAGATGAAGCAGAAAGGGCACCAGACATGGTTTCTTCTCCAAACCTCACCCCCCCCGCCCCCAGCCACTGCTAGTCAGATGATCTGGAGTCAGCTAACCTTTCTTCTCCAAGTTCAGATGGAAGATCATCTAGCTGGCAGTAGCAGGAGGGTGGGGAAGTTTGGAGTGGAAAGTGTGCCCTGCTGCCACTCTCCAGTCATCAACAGTGTTTCCTCCTTTCTTAATTTCCTCACTAGTCTTGCCACTGCTTTCTCCATCTGCCTGACCACCCACACTGTAATGGTGGCACTGTGGTGCTTCCCTTGGCTGCAGCTACCCATTTTCCCCTGGCCATTGCCCAGCTTCTTTACCCCTTTCAATGGCCACCCTCCCAGTGGTGGTGGCAACAGCCTTCTCCTCCTCCTCCTCCTCCCAGAGCTGCTGCCAAGTGCCTTCCTGAGCACCCAGCTTTTTCCACCTCCTGGTCACTGCCACTATCGGTCGGCTTCTCCTATGTCTGCCCCCTTTTACTTTTCAAAAATCCTATCCATACATACCCCATTATGTAGATTTGTTGATCAGCACAATCAGAATTAGATATAAAGTGTATGTATATACAGGGCTATTTTGGGGCAGGAACACACAGGAACGGAGTTCCGGCTGGCTTCAGAGTTGGCCACGCCCACTACAGCCAAAACCTCTGCGTGTGTGGTTACAGAGGGAAGGCCTGGAGAGCGACCCCCCCGGCGACTCTAAGGCGGGCAGGCCAGGGGGGGCCTGGGCAAGCCAAGGGAAGGCAGTTTAAACTGCCTTCCCTTCCCTTCAAGGGCGGGCTTGCCCGGGCTTCCCACAGCCGCAGGGTGCCCAGGCAAGCCAAGGGAAGGCATGGGGGTGTGGCCTAATAGGCTAATGAGCTGTGCTGCCATGGGGTGTGGCCTAATATGCTAATAAGTTTCTGCTATTGGGTGAGTTCCTGCTGGGCTTTTTCTATAAAAAAGCTCTGTGTATATAACAAACTACTGAAGAGTTAAATGTTTTCTGTGTTCTAAAATGATCTTGATATCCAGGTATGTGAGCATATGACTGAACTATGACTGTATGAGACTGTTTCTGTCCAAATAATACTTATTTTTCTTTACTACACTATTTGTGCTTTCTATTCTCATCTTTGCCCCACTATCTTTCACATGGCAAATCCAAGATATATATGGTAAGGGAGCAATAGAGAGAGCAACTTATATGTCTCTCTCTGCATAACTGGGTATATTCACAATTTTGACTGTAGAAAACTAAGGCATTTACACATTAAAATTTCATACATATGCTAACCAAGTTATAAATTATGCATTTTATGTTGTTAAAGCAGTAATAATAAGTTTAGGCTAGATAAGAATGTAAGTACTGCATATAATCTCCCCCCACCCAGAAAAATACCAAGGAAAACAATTCCCCCCCCCCCCAATGGTTTCAAGATTGTTGGAAATTTAACATCTTTAGGCTCCAGAGTGTGATTAATGAAAAGCTCCCCAGGTAACTTTTCTCATAATCAATCTGTACGTCTCAGACAAAATAGAATATCTTTACTATATCTTCACTATAAAAAGCAGCAATTTTTGTTCTACTGGACTTTGGACATCTGCAACATTGACAGCCTGAGGTCCTATTTTGGGGGTGGAAGTTTCCAGTCCTGGATTAGGAAACCTGTGTCCTTGTAAAGCTGCCAGTCAAGAGCATGAAACATTAGGAAAGCTGCTGTGACATCCACATGTGCAAACACAATTCTTGCTTTATCAATAGGTTCTTGACCTGTAATATGTCTGTTATGCCTGAGATCATGAACAAATTCTAAAGATGTGACAAACCATTGCTAGCAGCATACCTGCAATCTCATACATCTCATGCATGCGTCAGTGTACATCAGTGCTGCCAACCACTTGCCAATAAAAGGACACCGTAATAACACTTTTTATTTTCAAAGCCCTTAGCAAATATTAACAAATGTATCAGAGTCCAAGAGATTATTAAATTGTCTGGTGGATTCATATTACAAAACAGAAGTGTCTGCAGGGACAAAGTTAAAAAGAGAGGTAAATTTTTAATCTAACACTGGAGAGAAAAATGGTTAGTTCATTAATCTACTCTGTCCCTGAGGAATAAAGGGAAGCTTGTTTTGGGCATACATTTTTAGCAAAGGATCTTACGAAGAGGGAAAATAGACTCAGATGCCAGTGTTGTGTAGTGGTTAGAGTGCTGGACTAGGGTCTGGGAGACTGAAGTTCAAATCCCCACTCTGCCCTGGTCGTTCACTGAGTGACCTTGGACCAGTCACATAATCTCCACCTAACCTACCTCACAGGGTTGCTGTGAGGATAAAATGGTAGAGGGGAGAAGGATGAAAGCTGCTTCAGGTCCCCATGGAAGAGACGTCACAAGAAGGAAAGGCATTTCAAAGCATACCGAAAGTAGTATGTAGTGAAACTGCTATACTGTCTGATCCTGATACCAAAATTAAAACGCACCTCTTAAAAAAAATCTTTCCATATCATATTTACCTTTGTCATTGTTGCTCTGTGGGCTGAGAATGGAAGGATTTGATCCCATCTCAAGAATCTGCCAAACATCCTGTAGGGAACTATGTGTACCAGGTGATGACAAGTGGTCTTGCTGGGATTGGCTGGGACTTTCTTTTTTAAGCTGTTGATCCTGAAGGGGTACTAAGATGTCATTCTTTTGAAGTCCCACGGTATCATTTCTAACAAATGATTCTGACTGAACCTGTAAAAATGAGAGCATGTCCTCAGTTCTACCCAACATTTTGCATCAATGGGCTGGAGAGGTATCGTAAGCTAGGAACAGGCCCAGCTCTAGTATGTGCACCTTTGTGTGTAACATGATACAGAACCCCTAAGATACTTTGCCATGGCAAGTAAAAAAAATAGTGGAAGAAACTGAAGGTGAAAAGTGATTAGGAAATGACCACTTAACATTTCTAATTTATAACAGTGGCATGAAGAGTAAAACTGCACTGGAAATGTAAATTTTATACAACAGATATAATGGAAGTTACACTGTATTATTAAGTAACCCTAGTTTAATTCTAAACACACTCACTAAGGAATAAATCATACTGAACTGGAACTTACTCATAAGCAAACATGCTGAGGATTTTGTTACAGAGAAAGCAGCTAAGGATATACAAGACATTTTCCTGAGCTATGTTTTTGTTGAGCATGCAGTAACTCCTGCCATGAAAAACAGTTCGTTAAAACAAATATGTTTCATTTATTACAAAATTATCTCTTTGTTTTCTGGAAATATATACACATACATACTAAAACTAAGATTTTTTAAAAAATTAAATTAAGAAATAGGACAAATTATATAAACCTCCTACCCCTGCCCTAATCAACACATTACTCTGAGAGACTGCAATACTCCTATCCAGTTATTCCTGCTTAAGTTCAGTGAGTCTAAACACACGCAACTAACATAGCCTAGTATTATTTATGGCGTCATAAATTCCCTTAATCTAGCGGCGGGACTGTGGCTCAGTAGTAGAACATCTACTTAAAATGCAGAAGGTCCCACGTTCAATCCCTAGCATCTGCAGCTAAAAACAATTATGTAGTAGGTCATCTCAAAGATCTCTGCCTGATACCCTGGAGAGCCACTGCCAGTCTTAGACAATACTGACCTAATCTAGTGCTTGACATAAATTCCAAAAGTCCTAGTCTTAATTCAAATAAATGCCTCAAATGCTACCATTCTTGGGCCACATTCACCTATAATTTCTTCCCTTCAGCTACCACTTTGGCTTCTTTTTTTCTTTTGGTAACAATATGTGTGATAATAAAAATCAACTTGAGCATCCATTCATTCTTTTCTTTATTACCATTAAGTTCTAGTCAAATGACGGTGTTCATTTCCCTGAGCCTTCTCAGTCCTCCCAGCTGTGAATACTTCTTTCTCTTTTCCACAGAATTAGCATCAAATATGATAGCAAATATCACTCATAGGAATTATATCCCCCAACCCTTCTTTATCTAGGATAAAAGTATTCCCACCTCTTTCAACATTCTGTGTCCTTCATACTAAACCCTCACTGCTCTCCTCCAGTATATCAAGCTATCTTGATTCTAACATAAGAGACAAAAAAGGAGGTACAGGAACAATCTCCACACTGGAGCAACACTGAGCCGTACATAACCAATGCTATTTTACTGTGGACTGATTAGTGTAAGATGGGCAAAGTGAAAGGAGAGCATGCCAAGTGCATGTTCCTTTCCACTATCCAGACCACAGACTGGCTTGTGTACAGCTTGCACATAATGTCTCCGTGACCAGCAGAGAGAATCTGGCATTCTCAGGCATCTGTCCTCAGTGTCAGACATAGTGGCAATACTCCAGCAACTCTGGACATACAGAAAGCACATGACTGTATACTGTTCTAAAATATACTCATGCATAGAAATACTTCATTACCCATGTAGTAAGCGGAACAAAATTTGAGTCCAGTGACACTTTAAGACTAACAAAGTTTTACTCAAGGTATAAGCTTTCACATCCATGCACACTTCTTCAGATACAGTGTATATCAGATGAGCTTCAGATACATTGCCAAAGTTTGCATGCACATGAAAGCTTATACCTTGAATAAAACTTTGTTGGTCTTAAAGGTGTCACTAGATTCAGACTTTGTTCTGCTGCTTCAGACCAACAAGGCTACCCCACCTGAATCTGTGTTGAAAGCTGGTACTGCAGATCTTCTAAAGCTAAAAGGCGATGCTTAGTCTCCCTGGATAGTTCCTTTGGATGGAGGGCACCAAGGAAAATATGGCCTTGAGTCTGCTTTGAGCTCTTGGAATCTTGAGATCCTACACAGATGAGAAAATAAATATGCTGGCATTTTGTATTTATATTTAATTCAAGATAAAATTCTGCCTACTACCCATGACTGCTCAAAACTAATTACACAGTACAGCTAGATCTTAGGGTGTAGGAATTGCTCCCAGAATACCTTTTGCAAGCAATAACCTTTACTTAGCTACTCTATGCAAAGAAGCTGAGTCAGAGAACATAAACTCTAAAATGAACTTCTCTTACAAGGCATCTATTTTGGCCTCAAGTTTGTTATACAATAATGCCATTCTACATTGTTTCTTGTTTCCAGGATGGGGGAAACCCAACAAATGCTTATTTCAGGAAGCCTTATAAATTCTTTGTAAGTACATAAAAGACCTTTTTGCTGTTATGCAACATTCAGTTACCATCTTGACCTCACAGCGCCAGTGCTAAAGGTTTCCATAAGCCAAGAGCAAGGACAAATACTTTGTTCATGTTTTATCCCACCATCTTCAATGTTTGGAGGAATTGTGTTCTTAGTCACTAGAACTTCATTCTCAAATTAAAACTGGGGACCCCTTAATCTCAGCAAGGAGCCTAGAGCCAACACTTCAGTCTCCTAGAGGTCTCTTCATCTTGAGAGGCTTTCTCCACACACACACCCCGTGTTTTCTCCTCCTATTAGAATCAAAATCCTTCTGCCCAGTAAGTTTACCTTCCTTTGATACTGCTCCAAGTTCAGCTCTCAGTCTGTTTACCATCTCTAGTAGCTGTTGCTTTTCTTTGCTCAGATTGGAGATTTTTCTCGCTGCTTCCTTCAGTTTCCCTTGCATCGCTTGTGCATAGTTTCCTGTATATTGGTGGGGCTCATCACTTGCCCCCTTGCCAAAGAACCGTTGCTTGAGATGTACAGAGTCATCCTGAAGTTTCCTGGTCATTGCATTCTAGAAGAATAAAAGTATAACACTATGTTTGATACGGTATGTATTTCATAGTTCTAGAACTAGGGAGACCCAGACTCAAATCACCACTATGCCAAGAAATCACTGATTGACTTTAGGCCAGTCACACTCTCAGCCTAGTCTACCTCACAGGGTTATTGTAAAGATAAAATGCAGGAGAGGAGAATTACATACACTAAATTTCTACTAATCTAGTCATCCCCAAAGCAGAAGTACAGCACATAAGGATGCTGTGAGAGGGGAAGAAAAGGGACTTGAAAAAGTGAGTTGCCATTGCAGGAATTGTAGTGATCTTGAGGAGAGGTCTCTGTGCCCCCAGTTGTGACAAGTGGGGGGAGGGATGCAGGAGGTCCCCCAAATGAGGGGAGAGAAAATGGGGTATTGGTATACTGCCATACCCAGATTCTGCTCCGTCCAAAACAGGGAACAGGCACTGAGTTTCACCGAAGGAGCAGGGCTCTGGCTGGCACTACATAAATTAAGAACAGAGGAAACTCCAGGCAAAGACTAATCCTTTTTTGCTTCAAGGGTAGCTGTGCAATTCAGAGCATGCACAGAGTTCAGAAGAAACCTCAGTAGCCAGGAGAGTTTCAAATAAAAAGAGAGTAAATTTAGTAGGTGATAAAAAAGAGGATACTGGGATGGGTATTTTTAATTGAGGGATAAATTAATTCTTATGCAAACATTACTCAAAGGCGAACTCAAATGAAAGCTTAAAACCAATTCTTTACCTAGTTACATTTTTCTCTCTAACCTGATTCTCTGTAATTTCCCACCAGGATTCTCTTCCTTATATCAAGGTTATAATCCGTGACTGAACTGAGCTGCACCTCACAAAGTAGAAAAAAGAACACTAAAGAAAGGATGCTCTTGGTTTGTATAACCTTTTCAAATACTATTGTTGGATGGACTGAGATTACCTCCTGTTTACTCTCTTACTAGTAGGGCTATTTTGGGGCAGGAACACACAGGAACGGAGTTCTGGCTGACTTCAGAGTTGGCCACGCCCACTACAGCAATATAGGAGAAAAAGACTTCCATCACTGATGAAATTCCACCTCCCTGGTCATATGGGCTTGCAACACTGGACTGCTTATAGATCTGTCTATGGTGCAGCAATGCCTACCAATGCTCTTTACCAGCTCCATCTGATGAGAAGGATGTGATTCCTTTCTTTCTGGGCATCTCTCTTCACCAGTGCAAGCAAAAATTCCAAAAGAAGTGGTTGGAATCTACACCCAAAATCTCATGTCCAAAAGACTGGAGGTTTTTTCCTCTGAGGGCTGCCTTTTATGCCACCTGAAAATGGAGACCCTTTTTCAGGACTTTTGCTAGCTCTGTGGTTCAGAACCAGGAGTGTCTTCCTTGGTCTGGGTTTGTGGGTCTCTGGCTCAGGTTAGAAAGTGGGGTGTCAGGACTTCCGGCCACGGCGGGGAAAATGGCGACCGGTTCTCAGGACGCTCCTGGAGCCGGATCGCCCACGCGCAGTTAGGGGGGGTCCCGCGTAAGCGGAGATCCTAAGGAGCCTTAGTGAAAAGCCTCCGAACCAGGGGGCGCTTAGGGAAGAAGCCTCTTGCCGGCCAGAAGGTCGGGAATTGAGGCTCTCCCTCTGCCCCAAACGGCCCCGGCTGCGACGTGCCCCGAATGGGGACTAGCAACGCCACCGGAACAGCGGAGTGATGGAGCGCTAAAGTTAAACCAGAAGGAATGAGAAAAGCGATGAACTGTAAGTTGGTGATTAAATTTGAAGCGGCGGCATAAGCGTGCTTCGTTCCCCCGAGAGCCGGAAAGGAGGGAGGGAGGATTCCCCCCCCACCCGAGAAAGAGACTTTTTAAAAGGAAAGAGGGGGTCGAAGCGAAAATTAGTAAAAGCGCATTACCTTTTGGGAGGGAGAGGAAAGCGACGAAGAGGGAGGCATCCCCGAGCGGCATAACATGAACTTTTAAAGTATAAACAAAAGCGAAACATGGCGGGGCAGAGAAAACTGCTGGAGAAGCAGACAAAGAAGACAGGAGGGACTTCCTGTCCAAGCCCTTCCCCTGCTGGAACTGCTGTCAGTCAACAAGAAGGTGATCTTGCGCGCCATCTGCTGGAGGAACTGTAAAAAATCAACCAGAATTGGACAGTATGGAAAGTGCCTACAGTGTCCAACAGAGAAAAATGACAGAGACAGCTGACAAGGTGGATGACATTGCAAAGAAATGTCTGGCATCATCAGAAGAAATACAGAAAGTTAAGAAGAAGGTCATTAAAGTGGAAAAGCATCAAGAAAAACAGGATAATAAACTGTTACT